AATCTGAATCCTGTTCTGTTGCATATTCGTATCTCTTTCTTCCTTGCAGGCAGTGAAGCTCTCTCACTGGGCTCTACTCCGAGATTCTACGTTTTACACCTTTTCTATCACGGCCCTCATTGTGGTAAGAGCTTAGATACTCACATGCAACAGAACAGGATTCAGATTGTGCCGACTGCAGAAATACTTACTATGAAGCATTAAAGGCCTGTTTATGGTTTGAATACCCAGCATGCCTTTCATCAACTGTTAATGTGGACTTGTCTGCAGAGTGTGTCTGCTTGTATAAACGTAGTCTGTATGGAGAATCATGAGAATGTAGCTGTGTCTGGTTTTTCAGTATGCACTGAGTTCACACAAGACAAGAGACAAATCACGTCCACTCAATGAGCTCAGTGCGCAAACTACAGAAACACCACATGGTGTCCCACAATGTAACTCACAAAGACAATCCAACAATGTCACACATATAATGACATGGGTCACTTTGCAAAACGAAAACGTTTACATTTGATACTTCATGTGTATTCTGCTGACAATACTTGGGTACTTTTACTCGAGTAAAATGCAGCTTTCTTTTTGTCAAATCTGATTGGCTTCTGTGTTCCTTCATATGTCACCAAGGTGATCTGTGGCAGTGAGTCACAGTGTGATCCATGACTTCAGGATGTCACAGAGCAAACCTCATGAGTGCTTTCAAAATAAAACCCAATGAATCCCGTCTATCTGAGCTCTGGATTGGTCACGTCCTCTGGTGGAGTAGATGCTTCACTGCCTCCACCTAATGTCTTTTTGTGTCCTCTTGCCTCTTTAGTTCATCTACGATGAGAAGGTGTGCTGGTGAGTAATCATATTATCTCTCCTTCTCCCTATGTGTACGTGTGTGTGTGTGTGTGTGTGTGTGTGTGTGTATATATATATATATATATATATATATATACACATACATATGGTGAATGACTAAACATGTTGCTGACCTTGTGTCTGTGTGCAGGTGGGAGTCTCTTGTCCTGATTCTCATGTATGCAGTCTACATCCTCATGATGAAGTGAGTGTCATCATCAGGAACGGCTGAGGCCTTCAGTTGACTGATTAGCTGCCTTCAGTTGTTAAAAGTTGTGGCCTCGTCTTCATCGTCTGTCATTGGCAGGTTCAACAACAGGGCACATCGCTACTTTGACCGTCGAAACAGGAGCTCTGTGAATCTGTCCAACGGGCTGACAGGCAGCACTGATCTGGAGGATAACGTCACGTGTGATGCTACTGCAGTCCTGCTCACGAAAGGTAGCCCCATCTGCTCCGCTTCTGAGCCGATCCTCTCCGCGCTCTGACATTTACAGAAATATAAAGGCATCTATTTGTGTTCAGCTCTGGGATAAGACAGTAAGGATGACTTTGTGGACTCTGTCTGCTTGTCCTAGGATGATTGACAGCCTAAACTAACTCTGAGTCTCGCTCTGAGAGTGTGTAGATGAGTCAAAATTCACTTGAGTAAAATGACCACCTGCCCCTCAGTAACACCGGAGCCATGATGATTCAGATGGATGTGTCTGCCTGTAAATCCTCCTCGTGATTCCCTACCAGAGATGCCTTTGGCTACGCCATGGTTTTATTTACGGTCTGCATCAGTCTGTTTGGACACTAGAAGGATCAGGAAAATCCAATAGGTCCTCCACTGTCAAAGGACTGACTGTTCTTGCCACCCAGCACTTCCACTGATTGCTCTCGTGTTTGTATTTTCTGTGTCTCTGGCCTCAAAGCTAAAGTATAGCATCAGAGGAGAGCAGCACAAGATGCTGGCTCAGGCCTGTGCTCGTCCTTCTAGCCTCCGACTTGCTTCAGCGGAGCTTGATCCGTCAGCTTGTTCTGCATTTGATTTTTCCGAGCACTGCCCCAGAGACGAGGCCGGATGAGTCAGGATGGGCAGCGTCCCACAGAAACCAGCAGGGACCCGGACTATTGGCTCTTCAGATCTTTGCAGAGATAACCTCTTACGTTTCTGTCTTCGTGCTGGCCTCTCTGACAGGACTTTTGTAGGATATCATCACGGTTGGCAGATGGTCTATGGCTTTGGGGGGAAATGATCATATGAGCCTACTATTGCTTAGGGATGCAGCTATCCGAAGTTTTCCGTCCTGATGTCGATAGCGATGGGCTTTGGGTGTCGGCGTATTCCGAGTACGGATTATATACTAGTGATTAATGAATAAGCTGTATGCCTCACTGTGATATCATTATGTTACGTGTAGGGCAACATCCTTGACTTAAACATTGCTTTACTAATACAAAGATAATAGATATATACATTTACTGAATGGCCCATATCAGTATCGCTGTTGTTCTGTTATGTATTGATACGCAGTAATAAGGTCCTGGTACTGGTGACAGTGTTGGTTAACAGACTGTGGAGCTCACAGTGACGCTGGATCTTTTATATTTCAGGCCTTTTAAAAGCTGATGTGACATCAAACGTGGAACTCTGGATGAACTGAAGTTGCGGGCTGGTTCTGCATAAGGGTCAGGGTTACATGAGACGCTCCTGTGCTCCAGTCTGTTAGGAGACATCTTCTGTAGGCGGGATAGCTACTGGGCCGGTCCAGCTGAAGAACCTGCCTGCATGATCCGTCACTTCAGATGCTAATTAGCTTGTAAACTGGATTCAGCAGCCCCAGCTGTCAATCAAAGCAGTACACAGGCCCGCCCACTAATACGTTTAGAGAAGACGGCGCAAAAGAAACATTTTCTTTCTTTTAATAATAAGACAACATATTGAAAAATAAATTGCTCTCTCATTTATTTTTTGGCTGATGTCTAATTGTGCTGGATTAAGAAGTAAACAATCAGCTCTGCAGTCAGTTTATGTTGTGTGTGTTTGTGTGTGTGTGTGTTATTTCTCTCCAGCTACCTTCCACTGTAAGCCGTCTGTGTTGATGGTGGACGAGCTGCTGTATGCGTACCCCCACCAGCTGTCCTTCTGCGAGGCCGGCATGAGGATCATGATCACCAGTCATTTCTCCCCCAGAACCCGCCTCACCATGGCCTCTCGCATGCTTATCAACGAGGTACATGTCCACCACACACACTCTGGGAAGAGTTAAAGGGCAGCAAAGCTACCCTCAACACAAGCTGATTGGTCAACTGACGTTACTTTAAAAGAGTCCCAGAGTCTAAATATTCCTGTCTGGGTTCAACAGGAGAGGGAGTGGAACTAATTGTGATTTCCTCTCAGACACCTGTCTGCAGCAGACTACAGTCTGGATGTTAATCCAAACCAAACTGACTGAAATAACAGAAAATAATATCAACTTCAGCTTCAGAGAAATAGAAGAGGCTTGTCTTCTGATTTCTAGGATATAAATGAATGAAAACAAACTTGAGTAGTTAACTGGGACTCACACAATAGCATTCATGCTACACTACAGCAATGCAACATGTCTTAATGAAAGTATTGGGGTCCTAGCTTAAAGGGACAGTTCAGAGCTTTGAATGTGTAGTGCAGTGTAGAGATGTCTGCCTTACTCTAATGTGCTCGTGACAGAGCCACATGTACTCTAATGGCGTCCTCCTCGGCTGAGCTGAAGCATTAGCTAGCTCGGTGGCGCTAGGTGAGCTAGCAGCATCGAGTGTCCTTCTGCACTTTGATACGGTTAGCAGAGTGTAGTTCAATAGAAAGGAAATAGTTCCTACATCTAACAACAAGGTCTGTGGATTATCTTGAGTAACTGGGTCATGATTTCATGTTGAGTTTTTCCAAATGTTAAGGTGCTATAGAAATAACGTCTATTCACCATGTAGCACAGGCTGAGTGCAATCTAGAAGCATTACAGTGGAGAGCAGCAGACATGTCTACATCTCCAACACTGCGCTACTATCTAAACTGGCTCCCTGTTCACTTTAGAATTGATTTTAAGATTTTACTGATCACTGTATGGGCCTGGCCCCAAGATACAGTATATAGAGGAAATGTTGACCCCCTATGAGCCAGCCAGCAGCCTTAGATCCTCGGGTGGAGCCCTTCTGTCTGTTCCAAAGTTGAGGCTGAAAACTAAAGGTGACCGTGCCTTTGCCATCAGGACCCCTCGGCTTTGGAACGAGCTGCCTGAGGAGATAAGGCTCTCAGAATCAGTAATCGCTTTTAAATCACTTCTTAAAACACATTTTTACAGACTGGCTTTGATGTGATATCGTCGCTTTACGGTTTTATTTTTATTTGTTGATTTTATTAAATTATTTTATTTTATTAATTTATTCATCATTGTCGTGCTTTGTTGGGCCTCACTGTGGAGCTTTCTGTTGTTTTATTGCCTCACTTTTGCTGCTTTGTCTGTCAAAGCACTTTGTAAACTCTGTTTTTAAAGGTGCTATATGAATAAAGTTATTATTATTATTATCATTATTATCTAGAGCGATTCATAGCACTGTCCTTCTAATGCTGTCTATACTGATATTCTATAATCACTCCCAGAGACAAAGACTGGTCAACACCACTGAGACTCGAGTCAACCGCATCACTAACGGCGACCCTGACTCCGCCGCCAAGGCTCAGGGGAGGCGGGGCTTAGAGAACGGGATGGGCGGAGCTGAGCAGGGTCTGAACGGGAGGTTTAGACTTCAGCGGCTGGAGTCTGGGAACGAGACGGAGAACGAAAATGAGGATAATGAGAACAACGAGAATGACGAGGATGGAGAGGGAGAGGATGACGATAACGGCCCCCTGGTGCCTTTCAAAGTTCCAGGTACAGCACAGAGCACATTTTGAAATGAAATGATCCTTGACAATAAGTGTTTGTGTATAGAGCTGAGGCCATCACCATGTCTTTGTCCCCGTCCCTCCAGCCGGGGCCTGTAACAAGCTGAAGTGGCTTACAATGTGGCCGCTGTCCCTGCTTCTGTTCCTCACCGTGCCCAACTGTGCCAAGCGGCGCTGGGAGAGATGGTTCATGGTCTCCTTCTTCACCGCCACCATGTGGATCGCTGGCCTCTCTTACATCATGGTCTGGATGGTCAGTCCAGTCCGTCCAGAGGCCTCATTACAGAAACATAAGTCTGAACTCTCATCTCACTGTAGGATGACATGTAGGATTATTGGTCTGTTTCCCAACTGCATTTAGGAAACAATCCCATCTAATCTCATAGGAACGTATCTTTTACAGAACTGTCCTCACTTCTAGATTTCCCAAGTTAGGATGGCATAGAGCCTGTCCTAACACATAAATATTAAACAATAATTACTCCTGCACAGACTCGATCGGTGCCTCAGAATGCTCGCAGCTAAAATTGATCGGCCATCTTTTTGTGTCAATGATAGCAAGCTAGCTAGCCGGAGACAAGTGAGAGCCGTTGACATCGTGGTTTGCCCGTCTCTAGTAGCCTGCGGTATATTCTGTGCATCCTAAACATAGATCCAGACAGGACAGGACAGGGCCGACTGAAGAATCAGACCCACAGTCTAGTAAGGTCTCTTAAGTTAGGAGGAGACAGGAGCTCTGAGCCGGGATGGGACACAGACATGACTTTAGGAATTGCCTCTGTAGTAGGAAGATTTGAATATTCCTGTCTTTGAAACTTAAGACAGGACCAGCAGTTAGAATATGTTTCTGTCATGAGACCTCTGATCTTTAATTGTTGCTAGAATTGACTCCACAAAACAGGGAGGTACTAGGATTTTATTGTTAGTTTGAGGACTGCACAAAAAGGATTTGATCTTTAATTCTTGATCTTTGATTGCTTGAGAGAAATGACTCAATAGTCACATCTGAAAGGTGTTCGGCCACATGCAGAGGGCTTCAACTAGCTGCTCATACAGGATCAATAGATGAGATAGAGAATAAAAGCATATTATTGGTCAGTATAGAGCCTCAGAGTGCCTCTTTCAGTAATGTAGTGACAGCTGTTCATTCATCTTGTTACTGGAATGACCATTTTATTATGTTGGTAATCATTTTCATAATTCCTCTTAAAATCTGAGCTATAAATAGAAGCACAACATCCTGTACAAAGTCAATACTGTTGTATTCCTTTAAGATATGGAAGAAGGTTTTTCTGCTATAAATATGAATAAGTATGGAGAGTTCTTTTTCATACAGTCCCTCAGTGAGACTGGTGTTGTTCTTAGTCCTTCAATGAACATCTTTAAAAGATGCTCTTTCTATGAAGCAGAGTGCACCATAGAGAGAGCTGATCTACACTCAGAGTGTCTCCATGGTGACAGAGGAGACGTAGCAATCATGAGCAGGAGGATTGTTACTCCTTCACTAACTCTAGTTACTCTACTGTGCCAGTAAGCCAGAGAGTTTTCCCCTATCGCAGAATGATGCTGTGAGGAACCTCTGTAGAGTGCCGACACTGCTCTGTGGAGACAGGTCTGGCTATGTGAGATGTCATTTCACTGCTGAGCCACATATGAGGAGTCAATGTCTGCTTTCAGGTGACTGTGATCGGCTTCACTCTTGGCATTCCAGACGTCATCATGGGCATCACCTTCCTAGCAGCAGGCACCAGCGTCCCAGACTGCATGGCTAGTGTTATAGTCGCACGGCAAGGTACACACACACACACACACACACACACACACACACACACACCGGAAGTTGAAATCAATCCCTGTTTGGAGTAAAACAAAGCGGATGCTGTTAGGAGGAGGAGAGGCGTTGTTCTTCTCGACGTATACTTGTACTTCAGACCTTGACAGTGTTGCTCTCCTTGTCTCAGGTCTGGGAGACATGGCCATCTCCAACTCCATAGGCAGTAATGTGTTTGACATCCTGGTGGGCCTGGGCCTGCCCTGGACTCTGCAAACACTCTGCATCGACTACGGCTCCAATGTGAGTGCCGCTCCGCTCAGCCAGAGGACACACTCAGCAGAGCCGTGTGCATGAAGGACGGGGACAATAGTCTGTAAAATTCAGTGCAATGAGGGAGTTGTACTCAAACACACCCACACAATAGTCATGGGGGCACTGCACAGTTTAGTAGCTCACACTGAGGACACATTGTGTGTTAATTAGCCTGCTGATTGCACTTCACACGAGAAAAGACATTTGGACTAGGTGTAATGGAATGTGTGTTTGGACCTCCTCAGATCCATCTCAACAGCAAAGGACTCATATTCTCGGTTGGACTCCTGCTTGCCTCAGTATTCGTCACAGTGAGTAACACTTTTACACATTTGCAACAGCAGCCTTCTGTTTTTGTTACTTATTGAGAGGCTACAGCCAAGATGCTGCTCCAGTGGTCCTGCTCATTTGTGAATACATAGTGATTTTTTCATGCACACTAAGGACATTAATTGAAAGCACATGAGTCATTTTCAAATGTCTATTAACAGTGTCATTGATATGTAAACCAAAACAGGCATTATATCATGATTCATTGGGAGAAACCAAGCAATTCTATGTCAAATCAGACACTCGCCTCCCCCACAGAGGCAGAATGGAATCTTCTCTGCACAGAGTCGAGATCACTACACATGAAGTCACTCGACATGTTGAGATAGGACTTCTAGAGTAGATGTCTAGATATCTGTCAACTGTGAGAAATGATAAACAAATAAAAGAGGCGTGACACACTTCTGGACTAATCTCAACCGTGGCAGGACTCGCCATATTTGACTGACGTCTCTTTAAAATGACGAGGCAACGATGTCTCATTCCTTAAATGCCTGTTTCCTCGCTTCTCTTCCGCACCTCCTTTGCTCGCATCTCAAGTGGGCGGAACTAAGACGCAAGGAGAGGAGGCAAGGAAAGGAATCGAGGATGTACGAACTGGGAAATGAGAAAGGCCTTACAGTCTCAGACCACTCGACCAAAACCAGGAGCGCTCGTGAGAAAGTCAGACAGCGACCAGCAAACCTCTGGTTAATGCCTCATTAGCAGCGCGTGCCTTTTGTCTCCTGCACCCTAAAGTCCAGACTCCGGGGCACAGACATGTGTCAACACAGGGTTTCTGTTTAGATAAGAAAATAGCGTGGGCCTTTATTCATGTTCTTGTTTCACTTAGTTCTAAATAAAATGAGCTCAGTACTTTTCATTTGTCAAGTATCTAGTTCACACAGGAGAATATTAAAAACAGTAGCAGGAAACATGCTACACTGTGAAACAAATGGTTATGGACATATGAAATGACCTATACATCATATATCGTCCAGCCCACAATTCTGATGGATCGGACCATTTGGAACCGGATGTGGATTCCCATCACATGATGGTCACTTCCTCTCTGCAGGGGGATGCTTCAGGGGGAGGTGGGGCCTATTAAGTGATGGAGACAAAGAGCTCCGAAGGAGGACAAAGAGCGTGTCATGTGTTAAACCATCTGTTCTCTGTCCCTCCTGTCTGTCCCCCCCCGTCTGCAGGTTCTCGGTGTCCATCTGAACAAATGGACTCTGGACTGGCGACTGGGCTTGGCCTGCCTTGTCCTGTACGCCATCTTTCTGTGCTTCTCCATCCTCATCGAGTTCAACGTCTTCATCTTCGTCAACCTCCCTATGTGCCGAGACATCCACTGATCTCCCATCCTGCCCCTCTTCTGCGTCTTCTTCTTCTCCCTCCGGTTGATGGAGGAAACCTCACCTGGCTTCCAGTTTCTCTGCGCCTTGAAAACAAGTCCTACCTTTTTTTTATTTTCAAATAGAAAAATAGAGCTCTGTATGATTTATCTTTGGTGCAATACACCACAATTGTAGTTAGTTTGTTGGGAGGCGTGAAGAGAGAGTCCCAGCAGCAGAGATGGCTTCCAATCATCTCATGAACCCAAAGGTTGTCTGGACTGAACTTCACCGTATCGACTCCAACAGCTATGCTGCTGCTGGTGAAGACGCTGCTACTGACTGGAGGAAAGAGAGAAATCCTGCGCTAACTAACATTTTTAGCTGGATTATTTGTTACTCTTTGTAAAAAGTTTGGATATAAGCACACCATTTAGGTATTTTGAATGAAAAATTCTCTGTATATATGTATATAAATCTATATATAATATTAGCTGATACATGGGATTCTCTTATGCACCACTGCATCAGGCTTGCCGAGCCCAGTGATCCGTTGACATTATTATATATTCTACTGTAGTGATCTGGTCCAGATGTCTCCCATGCTCAGCACCACCTACACAGCATGCCGTACTAACAAGTCAACTGTAGCTTTGCACTGACCGACAGAGTCTAGATGTTTAACACACTGTTCACATAGACTGGCACATCCCAACACATGTGGGCGTCATTCTTCTCAAGTACAATAATACTGAATAAAAGACACACAGCAAAGGGATCTGGAGCTGACATCCAGCACTGTCACTTTAGAAATATTATATAAAGCCTCTACAGGTACTCTCAACATAGAACTACTGAATTTAAAGTTCCCTCTAGACAGTAGATGTCATGTTCATAATAAAGAATCCGTTTTGAGTGTAATAATTGTTACTTCTTAAAGCCAAAAGTATTTTTAGAATAGGAGTAAAAATCTTAGATTTGGACTTAAGTGTGTGTGTGTGTGTGTGTGTGTGTGTGTGTGTGTGTGTGTGTGTGTGTGTGTGTGTGTGTGTCACAGTCTCGAGGGGGAGCCAAGACACGACTGTTACTGGGAAGACATAATCATGATTTATTTATGAATTAATTTATTCAAAGATCATGTCTAACCAGCAGTTTCAGCCCTTTGGACGGGCACGGTGTATTTACTGGAACGTACAATTTACTCTACCTTAATATATAATCCAAGTACTGGAAACTGACTTGATGTTTATATTTAAGATTAGTACTTTATAATTTGTAAGTTTTGTATAGTTTGGAAAGATGTTGCAGCATTTGTATATTAGTATAAACACATTGTGTGTGTGGGGGGGGGGGGGGGGGTCTGATTCAATGAGACGCACTAGAAATGCCATGTTTATCACGGTGCGTTGAACTAGTGATGAAGAGTGGTGGATAGGGAGGCTGATACTGAACATGGTTTCTTAAACACAGTGGTTGTGTCGTTGTGATGACGATGTTGGGGGGTTGATGTAGAGTGATTTCTTAAAAACAGTGTTTTAACTCTTGTGCCATCCCGTCTCTTTGAGGCTTGAACACCTCCTGCTTGTCTTTGAGCCAAAAATAACACCACCTTTGTCAACAGTATTGCCACTCTGTTTCAGCATGTGTTCAAACTAAATGTGGAAGTTATGTATTTTCACTTTTACCTTGAAGGATTCTTATTGAGAATTCTCATATCAAATGGAGTCGCTGCTTAATTAAAAGCCTCCTCTGTAGGTGTTGATGCTCCTCCTGCGGCCACTAGAGAGCGCCGCTGAGCTGTGTGGCTCATTTACGCACTCAGTAGTAGGGGGTGTGGGAATATTTCCAGGTAGGCTACATAGAGATACATACCGGTCGGTTTGCATGCCTCTTTCATAATTCAGATTATTTTGTGTGTAGTTTTAATGCATTTCCAAGATCAACTTCCTGCTATTAGAAACATAGATGTTGGAATAACTCAGCAGTCATATTTGAGATCTATACTGTATTTAGAATGTAGGCCGACAACGGTTAATGTTCAGCTAATCAGTGTCGTTTTATGCTCATGTCTTTTGAATTGTTTGTAAATCCTCATTCTTTTGTTGATGAGGACTTCTGGGCACAGAGATAAAGATGTTGGCCTTGTTCCCAGTGGTCTTCTTGCAATAAACTGATTTACATACACAAATCACTGCCCCGTGTCTTCATGGGCTCGTCACGGGACTGATGATTATTCCTTATTTTCACAGCAAGTTGTAAATAGCAACAAAGCGAGACACATACAGTATCCTCAGCAAATTTACCTTTTAATACACCTGAAATCGATGCACTTCTTATTTCTTCACACTAATGGGTACAAATTATCATTTTTTTAAAGCATATTTTGCCTCTCATATTCTGACAATCACAGTGTGTTTGTGTTAAAGTTGAAAAGTTGTGTTAAAATGAGGCATCATTTGTAAAGAGTTAATGCTGACATGTCATAGATCAGTTGACAAACCACTGAGTGGTGGAGAGGTACAGCGGTGTGTGTAGAGGTAGTTCAGTCAGCTGCCACCAACACAAGAGCAAACTGTTCCCTGCACTGGCGGGGTCTGCCATGCTCTCAGCTGTGAGATCACTAGCGCCCTCTACTGCGGGTTAAGATTGGTGAGTGAGGACTTGTAATACCACTTGTACCTCTGGAGGCGACAGTGAGTCACGGTAGCGTCCAGTCTGTCCTCAGTCCAACATGAGAGGACGAAGGAGTAGCTGCCTTAAAGGCTTGTTAACGTTAAAGGTACAGGGTCCGTGTCCGTTTTGATAGTTTGTTTGTTGGATTAAATCCAAAGTGGCAAAATGAGAAAACCGGTCCGTGCACGAGGTATAATAAATTTCCATTGTTCACGTTGTATAATGAACAATGTCAGTTTAGTGGTGTTACCTGATCTCTTTGGTCTACTTGTGTTAATGCTAATGTATTCTGCTACGCGAGTTCGTTGTTCGTTAGCCGATGCTGCCTAAACGCGGTCAACGCTTTGCCTGTGTTATTTGTCGCATTGAATGAACACGTGCAATGCAACACTGCGCACCAAAACGTCAGCTTGTTCCATTATCCACCTTTAATAATGACAATTTTGTGACAGCTGGCCTTCAAAGTAAAAGTTGCTCGTTTTCAAACGTGTCGGCTCCAATTTATGGAGAGCTAAATTTAAAAAAAGTAACTAATATTCTAAATAATGAACATAATACATAACTTATAATATTGAACGTGAATAAACTGCCAATGGGCGCGAACACTTAATTATTTGTATGTAATGATTCATTATATTTACACTTTAGTTGTAAATGAATAATAAAAATTATTTTGCAGGATTGTTCTCTGGGCTGTGTACAGCGTGCTTTAACATCATGACTTTCTACAGCATAGAAATCCCTTTTCAGCGTAATCTCATTTCATGTGCCAACCCATACTTAAATAGTGCTTTCAATACAGCAGTCTGCAACAGGTTGCAGATTACAAACTATTTATTCCCCTCCGCTCACCCCTCCTTCCAAGTGTGAGGGGAGAACTACGGTGGCCTTCAGGTGACGTGAACGTGTTTGGTTTGTCTGTTCTGGGCAACATGGCAGACTCCATGAAGAGGACCCACTCTCTATGTATATATGAAGGGCTCATTCTAACAGAAACACAACAATTCTTAGTTTCAGGAAATTATATAATATTAAAAACAATTATGGATATTATATTCCATTTCTGCCAAGAAGTCCCTCTAAATCCTACACACTGCTCTGTTATGTCTCAAGCAGACATAACCCCGATGAAAAAAATTTGGAGATTTCATGTGTAAAATCGGTTGATTCCCTCTTTAAGGTTTGGGGCTAGCGATCTGTGACGCAACACCAAAGGAACATCAAAGATATTGCCCAATTTTGATATCAAACAATATTAATTTTTAAAAGAAATGCATTGAGAAGACGCATGTATAAAAATGCTGCCACGACTTGCCGTGCCAGCTGTAAAACAAAGTGATGTACAAATAAGAAGACAGTCAAAACATTGTTTGGCTTATAGCAATATACAAACAATATAAAGCATTATACGGTGCAATATCGAAGTGAGCATCTTTCCTTTGTAAAGACGTTTAAAAACCGACTGGTTACTGTTGAAAAGACGTACAAAACTGGTGCTAAAGTGAATTTCTTTTTTTAATACTGGTTTTATTTACAGATGTCCACCTTCCGTTGAAAAGATGTTTAAAAGATGTCAATGGCCACCGCTGAAAAGACGTTCAAAATTGGTTCAAAAGTGAACGTTTTTTCAATGGCTATTTGAAGACGTTTATTGACGTTTAGACCAGATTTCAATGGTATTTGGATTACTACAATTTTTCATCCTCTATTGTATTAATAATAAATCATAATTTTAGAGGTTTACAAAGAAAGCACATCCACAAGCCAGTATTGCACATCGGTTTTTTATCAGTGTGTGTGTATATATATATATATATATATATATATATATAAGTCTTGTAACAATACATGTATTTGTATTGAAACCTTCGGTACGAGGCTTTCGGTTCTGTCATGGATAAACTCTAAACTAGTATCTTAATAGTGTGGCCGAAATGGAACCAAAATACCACTGAGGTTGTACAATTATCTGAAGACGAGTGGCTGTGAAACTGGGGTAGATATACTGTTGGGTGATGAGTAGATGGATAGCAGCTGGGTTGACTGGGCAGGTGAGGTGAATGAATGTAATCAGGAGGGAGCCGGGAGGAGACCAAGACAGAGCCACGTCTAAAGCACACATACCGAGACACAGGAGGCAAAGTCTAATCGTGACACTAGTTTATAATTCAGTGTAGCTTTGTGGCACAAAGGCAGTAAAACTGCCTATAATCCTGCGGGCTTCTTCTTAATATTCTCCTTCCGCCGAGATTTTTGCTGTGCTTCTCGTCCCGCTGCAAGAGATTCGCCCAACCGGTTTCCCGAAAATCTCGAAAAACTGAGCAAAATTTCTCCATTCACTTGAATGGGGTTTCGGTGTGAAGAGAGCTAATAACACACTTAACTTTGGGCCCATATTGACTAGCCCTACTTTAACGTAGAAAAATTATTTGAAGTTTAAAACGTGGCAAAACGCTGGACTTTATTGAGCCAAATGGGCATTTTGATAGCTAGCACAGTTTTCATTAAGTCACAGATTAAGTTTCAGGAAAATTTTGAGTCCGTTTCAGATTTTATGTGTGTATTGCACAGAATGTTCAGCGCTAGAGTGAGGACATCTCGGTCAGAGTGGAGCGAGCATGAAAAATATTCTGTGATTTTTCCAAACAAATTGCTCCCATTCCCACAGCTTTTACTCTTTATACACCGTTTTTGATCGTAACGATAGGAGATTGTTTGCTGGCCACACACATGGTTCTATGGCATTTCTAATGGTTCATACAGTTGTTTGAGTCCAGGTGGGTTTTCAGTTGATGGGCAACAGTGCGTTCCAGTATTTTAGACAGAAAAGGGAGATTGGAGATGGGTCTGTAATTGTTGTTTATGTCGGGGTCAAAGCCAGGTTTTTTGAGGATGGGTGTGACTGAGGCGAGTTTGAGGGCGGGAGGGACGGAGCCAGTAGACAGGGAGGAGTTGATGACAGAGAGGAGGTGCGGGCGGAGGGCCGGGAGACAGGCCATAACTAAAGTGGAAGGGATAGGGTCGAGGTCACAGGTCGGAGTCTTCATGCCAGAGAGTGATTTATTGAGATCCGAGGGGGAGATGAGAGAGAATCGGAAGAGTGACCGGTCAGTTAGTGGAGGATTTGCAGATACAGGGTTGGTCAAAGCGGGGCTGGAAGTGGCCAGTTGGTTGTAGATGGTGTCGATTTTAGCTTTGTAGAACGTCAGAAAGGCGTTGCATTTCTCTGCTGTGGAGGAGTGGGAGAGATTGTCCATTGGTTTGAGGAGTTTGTTTATTGTGGAGAAGAGGACCTTGGGGTTGGTGGAACCAGAGCGGATGATGCCAGAGTAGTAGGTGGAGCGAGCAGAGTTTAGAGCCAGTTTGTATTGCTGTATGTGTTCCTTGTACGCCAGGGTGTGAACTGTGAGGCCGGTTTTTTTGGAGTCGCTCTAGTCTGCGTTTCCGGGATTTCATGAGGCGGAGTTCAGGGGTGAACCAGGGAGCAGTGTGGGTGAATGAGACAGTTCTGGTTTTGAGAGGGGCAAGCTGATCAAGGCAGGAGGATAGTGTGGTTCAGGGAACGGTGCCGGGAAGAGACATAATTAGGCGCAGCGCAGCTGAAACAGATGCTAATCGTCTCACTCTCCGATGTATTTAATCACCAGTAGTGACAGAGGAGCGAGAGACAGCTCGGGACGAGCGACAGTCGTGCAATGGGACGGAAAGAACGGGAGATCGCAGCAAACTCCCGCGACGTGTGCTCGGAGGCAAGGCAGGAGAGCACACGGCCAAGTCCAGTCTGATTGTGTGACAATAAAGAACGTTTGAAAACGCCATTCAACTGTGTGCTGGCATCATTGTACTCCCAAGACCCACCGGATAGCAGAGAACCTGTTACAGCCATATACCTCTCTGTCTATAGAATTGAAGAGTAGACAAAGGTGAATGTTTGCAAGGGATGAGTTGAATTGCACAGGCAAGTTTCTCAAGCAAAACTAAACTGCTCCCATTTTTTGAACCCAAAGGATTACTCATTTCCAAGTCATCAAAAATAAAGTTGGATTAGTAGGGCATTGGGATACCTGCTGTATAATGCATGATGTGCAAACTGTGTGTCATCAGAATAATCATGCATTTTACCATATTTGTTAGATTGCTTAGAGCAGGGGTCTCAAACTCAATTTGGCTCGGGCCACTGCTGGTATTGTCACCAGGGCCACTTCAACGTTCAAGTACTACAAGAAAGCGCAATATTTTGGTAGATTTACATTTTTATTTTTACAATACTAACATATTTTTGCCATACTTAACAAAAAAATGCACCCA